ACAGAGAGAGAGAGAGACAGAGACAGAGAGTGAGTGAATAACTGGCACACAGAAGACCCGAGGCCGATCCCTGTGGCGCGTGAAATGTTTATCGAGTATCTTGGTCTTTGAGCTGAGATGTTGTATCTTTCTTCACAACAGGTTGATCCTTTTTGTTCCAGTGTTTTACGGCACTTGCAACACAAGCAGGTCATATATTATAAGGGCCGAACACTGGAGACATCACAAGAGAGTACCCGCCGAGTACATCATACAGATCTTGGCAGTGACAGGCAGGGAGGGAAGCCCGCCTCCTAAATTATCTAAATGGTGTTGATGAGGGCGTAAGAACTCCAACATAAAAAAACAAAACACAGTAAATACACCAACGGTAAAAATCACAGTAAATACACAAACAGTAAAAATCACAACAACAAAAACGACAAGCATCCATTTCATTTTATTTGTCAACATAATTCAGAGGAAGTCGATTCAAGGAAAGGAGATGAATTCCCCCTGTTTATACATTCATCAAAATCAATACATTCAATGAACACATACACTAGAGGTAAATGATGTGGCTTCTCTCATTTTTCTCTAGCGATGAACCTCAGCTATCCCCGAAAACCATCCACGGCACCTGCATCGTGAACTATTGTACTTAGTTTTGGCTTAGAATTAGAGTATTGTTTACGTCTTATGCGACCAATCAACGGTCTTATTTCATACCAACACACGCGATGTTGGAACATGCACGTGTCTTAGGCGGCCAGCACACGTGTGACTGTGTGTGCGTGTGTCTGGGGCTAGACAATCAGAGAGTAAGAGCGTACAAAGGGCCGCGAGAGGAACGTCAGTAGAAATACAAACACGCCACAGTTATTGTTTACCCAGCTACAGATCAACATTACAATCATGACTTGACAGAATATTCTAGATCTACGGAATGAATTAAGCATTGGTCAGTGGAATCAAATATTGCCATAAAATAATAAAAAAAGCTAGGCTCTGCAAAGCAGCACAACTTGTATGGCAAACAATAGGCCCTACATCAAAGATGCTAGATGGCACAGGGGGGCATTTGAACTAGTCTTTCACACAGCGTGTGCTCGGTAGAGTTCAGCGTATTTTCCTACAATTTTCCAGCATTTCTTTGGTACAGCATCAAAGAAACGAAAATGCCTCTCATTTGAAACCAAACTACAGGTACTTTTGATTCAGGGAGTTGAATGCATTTACATTATTTTATTTGTTCAGTGCCTGTAACTATGTACCCTACGCAAAAAACATCATGTTTTGAAATAACAAACACAGGCATTCAGCAAGATGGAAGGTGAGTCCCCATGACTTCATTCTACATTGTATCCCGCTGTCACAGTACATGGGTTGGTTTTTTTTTTTGGGGGGGGGGGTTATAGTAGAGGGTTTTACGGCGCTTGCAACTGCATACGGTCATATGAGCGCCAAGGGGTGGATGTCAACAGAGAAGTCTTTACAGGGAATCAGACTTACTCTGCTCACCTCTCTAGCTTCAACAGCACAAGATCTGGTTCGACTATCGAGGCACCCCAAAAATAGCAGGTCACAAGAGTGACATATAAAAGAAGTAGAGGAAAAATTACAACGGTGAGGATTAGGAAAGAGAAAGCAGAACACGTTTATTTACGACAACAGCAACAAGGATGACACAGACAACAGTGGACACATGATCACTTCATTCACGACAACTAAGAGGATGATTTCCAACAACAAAAACCATGACAACTTCAGCTCGCGACAACCTCCACCCACAAAACCCATGACGACCGTGACAACTTTGGAGCCACAGTCACCACAATGACCTTGTCCTTCGACCTCGAGCCACAAAAACCAAAACGACCTCAACCCGTGATGACTTCGACCAACAATGACTTCAAACCACGACAACTTTGACTTTGACCCCCACAAGCCACGACAACTTTGAACCACACAATTCACGACAACTTTGAACCACACAATTCACGACAACTTTGAACCACACAATTCACGACAACTTTGACCCCCACAAACCACGACAACTTTGACCCACACAATTCACGACAACTTTGACCCACACAATTCACGACAACTTTGACCCACACAATTCACGACAACTTTTTGACCCCCACAAACCACAGTGACTTTGTCAACCACGACAACCCCCACTTCCATCCACAAACACCACAAAGACTTCAACTGCAACCCGCAAAAACCACAATGACTTTGACCAACAAAGATTTTAACTGACAACTACTTCGACCCACGGCGACCATGACAACCTCAACAGCCCTGATCCAAGAAATATGACGGCCGTGAACCACAATGACCAAGGTGAACTACAACCCATGATAAGTTTGACCCACAAAACGCGACGACTTCAACATACGAAAATCACGATCCGCGACGACTTCGACATACGAAAACCACGATCCGCGACGACTTCGACATACGAAGCGCGACGACTCCAACTACTTCAACTTTACCCACAAAGGTCTCCACCCATAAAAACCACAACAAGCTTGATCCATAACAACTGTGACCTATAACAACCACTACAACTTTGACCAAAGACAACCACGACAACTGTGACCTATAACAACCACTACAACTTTGACCAAAGACAACCACGACAACTGTGACCTATAACAACCACTACAACTTTGACCAAAGACAATGTGAAGACCACAACAACTTCAACCTGAACAACCGTAAAGACCCCAAAAACGTTGACCACAACTACCATGACAACTTCAACCACAATTACCATGACAACTTCAACCATAGCAATTTCAAACGTCATAACCATGACAACTTCCACCACAACAACTTCAACCATGACAACCACTACGACTTTGACCCGAGACAACCACGAAGACCCCGACAACTTTGATCACGACTAACAAGACAACTTTACGACACAATGACACACATCAACCACAGCGACACAAAAACACCACTGTTCCTTTTATTTCTAAAATACAAGTGTAATATTTCCTTATGTTTACTCTCCCTGTCCACTTACTTCAATATACTTCAAAAGCAAAGAAGACAAATAATGTTGCAGATCCAACAGTTTCTTGGCTGGTCCTACGTGACAGGTCCAACGTGACTGGATGCTCTTCCAGAATCAATCTTTACAAACAAGATGTGCTCTGGGGAAACAGAAAACAGGAGACAACGATGTACTTCCCCGAAACAGGAAGTCTTTACAGCTTGATTTCTAAGCTTAGGCCCCCAACTCCAGTTTCCCCCCAGAGCAAGAATTAGGAACTACCATTTCATGAAGTAAAAAGTTTGTAGAAAAGTACATTTAAGGTCGTTAACCAGGTAGTATACTAAAGACAAAGGAATATTTACAGATGTGAGACTGTGTATTGGTTTTCCATTTACAACAGAAGGATTGCTTTTTCTCCTGGACTGCCAGACTTTCTTATACTACTTTCTAATTAGAACATTTCCCACAACACATTCACCCTAACTTCCATGTGAGAAATTAATTAAAAAGAAACATGTATGGTCTGTTCACAAAGCTAGCTATTAAATCCTCCACAACTGGTTCTCTGCCAAGACTGGGGTGGCGTGGAAGTAATAATAATAATAATAA